AGGCAAATTAGTAGAGACTGTAATCAAAGACAGAATTATTAGGCACATAAAGGGAAAAAGCCTGTTGAGGGGAAATCATCACGGATTCTGCAAAGGGAAGTCCAGCCTCACCAACCTTTTGGAGCTTTTTGAAAAAGTGAACAAATGTGTAGATAACAGTGACCTGGTAGACTTTAATTAATTATTGTATGACAGCGTGTGTTGTATAGCCAGGAGATCCTAAGACTGTCTGGCAGCCAGAAGTTCTAGCTCTTTTAGCGTAGTGCACCACTAGGTGGTGAACTAGACTTGTTTTTAAGACAAGAGACGTTTCTACATCATGGCTCTGGTATTCCTTGGAGGTTGCCCATCCAAATACCAGTTAAAGCTTCTGAGATCTCATGAGTAAGGGCTGGTAGACATTATATAACTTGACTTTCAAAGGGTTTTTGATGAGATACCTCACCAAAGACTCCTGAGTAAGCTTAGCTGTCATGGGATAAGAGGATGGGTCTTCTTATGGATTAAAAATTAGTTAACCAACAGGAAGCAGAGAGCAGGAATAAAGGAATATTTCTCTCAAAGGAGGAAAGCAAGCAATGGGGTCACACAAGAATTGGTATGGGGTCAGTGCTATTTAATTTGTTCATAAATGGTCTGGAACCAGGGGGGCAAGTAGTGTAGTAGCCAAGTTAAAAAAAAATTAATTTTTCGATTTATTACCCCGCTCGAACCCCCCCGCTAAGGGGTCTCTGAGCGGCTTACACTTGATTCTCATACCTTTTAATCATCTCGGGTGCCTTCTTCAGTACGTTTTCCAGCTCTGCAATGTCCTCTTTAAGACACGGTTACCAGAGCGCCACACAAGATCCCAAATGAGGCAGCACCATAGATCTATATTACATTGTTGGCTTGTTTATTTTCAGTCCCTTTCTTAATAATCCCCAGCATAGATTTTTCATTTATTACTGCTGTGGCATACTGGGTTGTCATTTTAATTAAGCTATCCCCTACAACCCCAGAGTCTCTT